TACAACTTTGGTTACAAATACATTTTTGCCTTTATGGATGATTTATTAATCAATCTAGGTCCAATTTAATACTCGACATCTAGTCTATTACAAGTGGCTTCGACACTTCAAACATTTGTTCTTTCTATAAAAATACATCTAACGATTAATAAATGGACAAATTGTGCCTAATATTAGGTTTCTCTTAAATATTTATATAAAAAAAATAATATCAATGACTTTAGATGATTTTTATGCATAATTAAAGCGTAMAAAGAGAATATTTGAGATTAAATTACAAGTTTAGTATCTAAAATTTTAAGATTGTGTCTGTTTAGTTTRTAAACTTCAAAACAAAAAAGAGACAATTATAAAAATAGTTCAAAAATAAATATGTATTTATATATATAGCATTAGGTTTAAAATTTTACAAAAATTGCATAAATTACAAACGTATACAATCACATGAGACTAACTTTTTTCTTTTCGTAYGCATGAGAATAACTTTTCTTATTTTAGTACAAAAAGTTCCTTTCGTGACATTTAAAAAAAAAACAAAAAGTAATGATATTTTTTTTAATACATATTTATTTTAATGCCACTTAGTTCAATTTTCCAAAAGAAGAAAAAAATTCTAGTATGCTCCTAAACTTCGATATTGTGCCTATTTGCTATTTTATCCACATACTTTAAAAAGTTTCTAATTAATCCTTAAACTTTTAATTATGTGTCTAATAGATGAATATGGTAATCAACTTCATAATTTGACTGCATTATTTAAAGATTAGGTTGATTTTGTACAAATCGAAGCATATACTTATTAAATGAGGATATTTTTGGTACGTCTTCCATTCACTGTCTGTCATGTCATCATCGTATTAAAATTAATAAGAGGTTTACTAATGTTAAAAAATTATTTATAAAAACAAAATAGGACAAATTAAGTATGGCATTCTGGCCTATAGAACTGAAAACTTTCTCCTATTAAAGTTCTTTTTTTTACAACAAATGGAGTGGAAGATTTGAACTCATAACCTTCTTGTCAGAAACACGTGTCGATTATAGCTAAGCTAACCCACGTTTAGGTTGTCTAAGACAACCTGTTATAAAAAAAAAATTAAAAATTTCAATAACTTATTAGAAACTTAATTGAAACTGAAAGATGAACTTAAAGTATAACGGGTAAATAGAAGTAGAAGAAGAAGAAGAAGAATAAGGAGGGAAAAAAAAAACCTTGTAATTGATCCCAAATTTGAAAAAGGGAGAGAGAGAGAAAGATTGGGTAGAGACAGCTAATAT